CACCTGGACCAGGGCTTGGGGCTCGGGTTGACACGTGCACAATTTGACCGTACCAAATCCTAGTCGTGTGTTCGCACGTGCGAGGGGTGTCTTTGAACGCGTGTGTAGAAGGTTCGTCATTGGATAAAAGAGTTTTTGGAAGTTTATTTTAGTCTTCTCCCGTCTTGATTAACGTGAACTTTTTGGAGGGATTTTTTAAAGTTTGTAACAACTGGCTGCCTGCCTGCAAAATTCAGTACTCCGGTGAAGTACTACTAAATCGCCTGCTTGATGCTTGCCACGTGTCCCATCACCTCTCAGTTCATGTTCTATTTCTTTTTTTTTTTTTTAATAATTAGAAGTATAATTTTTCAGCTTTTATTCATGACAAAATTCACCGAAAAATAAATTATGAGAGGGAAAAAATAATAATAAACAATGAACTGTTTGGAGTAAATTTGTTGATATAAATAAATAAAAAAGAAATTGAGAATTTTTGCAGTAGAAAATAAATTAAAAATTAAAATTGAAAGGAAGTAAAGAATTAATATAAATTTAATGATGGGAGGCCGCAATGCACGTGGTTGATGAATCATAAGGCATCAAAACAGGTCAGACCACGCCACCTCACCCCGTAGCCAGGTTTGAACATTTGATCACCAAACTTTTATAGGCTGCTTCTGTTGTTGTTGTTGTTGTTGTTGTGTGTGTGTGTGTATGTATATATATATATATATATATATATGTATGATTCACTTTTGAGTTATATAATTATAAACCCAAACTCACGTCTGCAATTGTTTTTACTCTGATCCCTCTAGTTTTGGTGGTAGACCAATTAATATAAAATAATTCAATTTTATTTTTTATTATTATTTTTTTAAAATAGTAATAAAAGTTTATATTCATTTTTAATTTATTTACTTTATAAGAAATTCATCTTCGTAATTTGGTGAACCCAAGAACATAGTAATCTTGTAAAAAATAACACTTTGAAATTCTACACCATTATTATCACTTTTAACTAATTTGTATGCATTTCAATAAATACATAGGAATTTATAAACCAAAAATTTAATTTGTGTACTCACCACATTCTTAATTTTCTTTTAAGTAATTATTAATATTATATGTTTTAGTGTAAATTTTTAAATGAACAGTATTGATCAGAATGTACTGTCTTGTTTCTTAAATTGAAAGGTTTATTATTATTATTATTATTATTTTTTAATAATTAACAATTAACCATATTTGTTCTAACTCTAATTCATTGAACCTATCAAAACATATGCAACCCCTCGAAATATAAAACATCGGTAATGTAATTAAAATTCTGTTAAACTCGAAAAATAAAATTACAATTAAGTACGTAACAAAGAAAAATTAATTTAATTATGCATTAGATTCATATGTTAGAGCAAATTTGAATAATCCATAAGTGGAAGAATGTATGTAAGTGGTAAGTAATAAATAATATTGATGGAGTATTATGCTTTTCAACCCCGGTTTATTTTTAATATAAATTGAATTCAAGTTGTGCGAAAATAATAAAAAAAAACATGCATGTTGGTTTCCATAAAAAGTAAAGAGACCATGTTAAGTTTAGAAGCAAAACATCTGGACACTGCTAAAGAATAAACATGTTCTCTGCATTATTGCTCGTGCTCCATGTGAATCAAAATTGTGTGGCTAAGTTTATAAGAATTTTTGTACCATTTAAATTCAAGTAAAAGTAAATATCCATTGGAACTACCTTGATTAAGCAGCATCAATGAGGAGCATTATAATCCTCTAACAATGCTTTACCGGACCCACTAACGGCCGCTCTTTATTTTAAACAAGACAATTAGTGAATGATGCTAACGAAACTCAATTAATGTATGTATGATTATTATAACACTATTTTTTTTTTCTTTAAAATAAAATTAAAAAATAAAAATAAAAATAAAAACGCAGCCCGTACGATTAATCAAATAGGTAAATCCACATAATATTTCAATTATTATATATCAAGCAGTAGTATATGTAGATAATGTCAGATCATAGAATAATTAAAGACATGGTACTACCTACTAGCTAGCTACCCGTAATTCTAAAGTCCATCTAATTAAAACAAACAAAGGTCAATATTGTTCACATTGGAATTAACTTTGGATTTATTTGTTGCTCTCTGAATTAACATATTTGAATTTTTATATAATTAGTCAAATAATGCATCAGAAACCCACAAAATTTTGAAGAATAAAAAAAAAAAAAAAAAAAAAAAAAAAAACCAAAGAGGATTGCACGTACTACAACTACATGTATAACTTTTGAGACAAGTAGTAGTACTCTTCTTCTTAATTAATACAGAAACAAATATTTACAATTTTTTTTTTTTTAAAAAAAATTAAATAATACATAATTATTTGTTTGGAAACACACGCAGATATGTACAAAATTAATTATTTTAAGTCAAATGATTGTCGTCGCATTACATTAATATTGGATTAGACAATGATGGTAAACCAACCATGTAGTGACTTTATAACCTATTTATTTTTGGGCAGTGGAGTAGCCTGCCAAAAATGTTGGTAATGGACACTTGGACTGGACCAAACAAGCCACACCCCTTCTTCCTCTCATTACAATATCATTGGTAGAAGTACTAATTGGCGACATAAAGAGACTTGATATTGTAATACCCTAACTAATAAATATTTATAAAATCGAGAATCATTAGTGTAATAAATTACGTAATATACCAAATTGATACGATAATTCCTTGGAAATTTTGCTCACTATATTTTTTGATAAAAGATATTTTGACACGATTGAATTTATTTAATTAATGTTAAAATTTGACATAACTTTTTAATATTGGCTAACTCTGTATGTTTAAGGATCATCCACTTTTTGAATTGCACTTAACAAACTAAATTAAAATAAAAGACCGGGAGATGAAATATAAAAACGAGCAAAACCCCGCATGGTGGTTTGTTTTTTTAATGTTTGGATATTTAGATTTTGGTTTAAAAATTATTAATTACTAACATTTTATGAATTATTTATAAATTTAATACATTCTTTTCCAAATTTATTTACATAATTTCAGAGCAAATTTACAAATGAATATTACTCTCAAAGGCTCATTTGTTGTACGCTGCAAATTATTTATCCGGTAACACTAAATTATCCCCTCCCTCATTTCTTGCGCGAACGAAGCCAAGCGAAACATTCGGAACGATGTCGTTTTATTTCGTTTCATCGAATGTTGCCTTGCTGCAAGAAAAAATTTCAAAACATTTCCATTTTCTGTACTTTTGGAGACTTCAGAAGCAAAATAGGGTTTATAGCATAAACCCAAAGGCCAAATCTCCTCTCTTCTGCCCCGATAACTTACAGGGGTTTGCCGAGTTCTCATTCTGAAGCCGAAACCGGCGTTCTCTTCAAAACGCTTCAGTTTCCGACAACCATGAGCAGGGGACCCGGTCTCTTCTCTGATTTCGGCAAGCATGCCAGAGGTCTATCACTCTCTCTCTCTCTCTCTATATATATATGTATATATATGTATACTTATGTCTCTGTGTGAGAGTGTCGTGTGGTTGTTGAGCGGCCTCAATTGGAGAATTGCAATTATACTTTTCATTTGCAGATTTATTGAACAGAGACTACAACAGTGACCAGAAGTTTTCCATCTCTTCGTCTACCGGGAGCGGAGTGGTAAACTTTCCTTTTAATATTTTGTTCAATTATCTGATTTACCTTATAGGCCACGATTTATGTTTAGTGTGTCATTTTCTGTTTTCCCTGTGCGTCCATTTGTTATCCTTGAATTAACTTTGGGGATGGTTGGTGGACAGGAATATTGTTTGGTAGCTTGTGCTCTTTGTTTCTTGTTAAGAAGTCTGGATCCGTCGGAGCTTCCGTTTTCATGGATTATTATGTTAGATTTTCTTTTTCTGGTGGGTCGTTTGAGTTTATCGTTTTCTTTGGATGCTCAAACAAAACATTTTTGAATTTGACATGGATGCTATAATCCATGAATTTCTGTCTTATCTAGTTTACTAACAGTACATTGTAGAGGACCTAGTGCTTTGACTAAAGCTGCAAGTTCTTATATACAATGAAGTCATTGGTATATCAGTTGTTGAGTCATGTGACTGCAGGCTTCTAATATAGCCTGTAGTTTTCTCAAGTTTTGAATCATATCTCCAATGTTACAATATGATTGCACCGAGGCGTGTCCCGGAACACAAGTTCACAAGATTTAGATGTCACAATATTATATGCCTAGGCGTTTATCTAGTTGTTTGACCAGGCAAATGGAGTTGATTTTAAGAAGTGATATATCCTATGGAAGAAGCAGGCTCTCACAATGTCTGCACAGTAATTTTCTTTTCTTCTTGAATAGCTAGAGTGTCCCAGCTGTTCTGCTTGGAGCCTGTTTGAAATCAAAAGTGAGGAGGAGCTTCTTAGATGGGCCTGCAGGAAAAAGAAAACTCATGGGTTTCTTGATTAGTATAGCTGAGTAGAAATAGTTATTCCGCCTAATATTTTGCCTGGTTTCTTTTTTTTTTTCCCTTTGCAATTTTCGTTTGTATACTAATATAACATGTCATTTTTGTGAGCATATATATCCCCTTGGATCTGTTATTCATTGTATTATTGCAGAAATAATACTTCCCTTTTACTCATTTCTTCAGGCACTCGTTTCCAGTCTTTCAAAGAAGGGAAGTCTCTGCTCTGGGGATGTAGCAACACAGTACAAACATAAGAATACCGTAGTTAATGTCAAGATTGACACTGAGTCAAATGTAGAAGCCTTCATTTATCTTCTTTAAATTTCAATTGCATCGTTTGATCTCTTCAATAATATTTAATCTATTTGTTAAGCAGATATCGACAACCTTCAGTATCTTTGACATCCTGCTATACTCAAAAGTGATTGCTTCATTTAAGCTGCCTGATCAAAACTCTGGCAAGGTAACTTTCTCTTTGTCTAGTTGTAGCTGACCAGGAGTTGCATACTGTTCTCAGCCTTAGATATAAGATTTTACAGTTGTGTATTTTGTTCTGTTGTAGTTGGAAGTTCAGTATTTGCATGAACATGCATCTTTCACTACAGCTGTTGGTCTGAAGCACTCGCCAGCTGTTGATATCTCGGCAACCATTGGTACTCCTACCGTTGCATTTGGAGCAGAAGCAAGCTACATGACTGCTTCTGGTGAATTTTTGAAGTACAATGCTGGAGTGAGCTTGAAAAAAGCAGACTGCAGTGCTTCGGTCATTCTGTAAGTCGTTTCTTTTTCCCCAGAAGTCAGAAGCTATGCCTCCCCTTCCTTCCTGGTTAACTGTCCCTAGATGCACTTCTAACGTAAATTAGAGGAAACTGCAGAAGGTCAATGTATTTAGTTGTTGAAGTAGGTGTCCATATACTCAGTTGTCAAAATAGGTGTTCACAGTACAGGGGAAACTAAGAAGGAAATTTTCAGTGGAACTGCTTTTTATGTGATCAAAGTAATATTTGGAATAATATTCTACCTCTAAA